TTGATAGCAATCTACTCGGCCAGACGCCTCCATAACCAAACAAAGAAACTCTAAACCAAGATTTCAATCACTTTGAACACAGCTTTGCAAACTCACCGCTTACTATGAGGTTTCCACTAAGTATGTCACGTAGAGACCAACCGCACAGAAATCACATGGAAATATAATGTGCCCCTCACATCAGAAAAGCAGTTTTATATACTGCCCTATATCACGCGTGATAATGAGACATTCTTCCCTGCGGTTCATTTTCGGATTTCTGGAATTAATCCAGAGTGCCTCGAGAGTTTTTCGCGCCTGTTCTTTGTTCTCTTCTGAGATCTCCAGTTCTAAGGAAATCGGCGGTGATATTATTTAGTCCTGGAGCTGTCTCTGTCTCCGTGTCTCCGTGCTTTCTATCGCAACTCTCATCTCAGAGTAGGCGGTTTTCACAATGGTAGATTTTGTGGTCCGACACGGGGGTTGTGGAGCGGAAAGGATTGGTATAGAACTTTTCTGTTATCAATTCCATCTTGTGGTGGGATGTGGTGTTAGTTCTATCTTCATACTTCTATAAATCGTTTTACGAATATCTTCATCAGCTGGCATTTATCATGTTTTATGCGTGTTGCAATAGGATTAAGCTTCTGTGTCCTTATGTTTTCGAGCAGGTGGTAACCGAGATGAGGTCTGGATTTTTTCTGAAGAATGGTCGTTCGGCACAAGTTGTAAGTCTTTCGATAAGCAGCTTCTAGTACTCGTTCGGATCATCCTTTATCTGCCATTAGTATGAAGAGAGGATTTTATTGAGAATATTGTAATCGTACTCGACTTGTTTCGTTTTTCTTGGGCGATGAATGATAGTAATTCTTTCCTAGCTTATAACTGAATGAGATCTTCGCACGGAGGCGGTTATCAGATGCTGTATAGAATCCAGGTACCACTGAGGTGTTAAAGAGGCACCATTTTGTACTCGTGAGAATATGATCGATTTACGCATTAGTTGCACTATTAGGAGACTCTCCATGTTTATCGGCGATTTTCTTTCTTCTTGGAAATTAAATTTCCGTGGAAGAGATGTGAATCGTACAAGTCAGTTTCCACTACCACTTCGCTCTCGTATTTCGGATTTTCCTGTCCTGTACTCATTTTCGTTGTCCATTCCTAGTCTGGCTCTAAAGTCTCCAACGACGAATACAAGTTCCCGTTGCGAATGACTTCCTCCAAGTCGTTATAAAACGTATCCATTTCACTGCCATCAACTATGCAAATTAATGAGTAGCAGTTGGATGATATTAACTTTCTTTTGGCGCGGAAGTTGGAGACAAACATCCAAACGCGATGATAGGATTGCGTATAAGCTGATTATACGGAGAATGGATGGGATTGTTCGGTAACGTACTGACGAATGTTGGCCTTCCTGCTTTTCGTCTCTTCACGGCGAGCACATGGATGTTGATGCGACTAGAAGCCTCAAGAAGGGAAAAGTCACGTAAAAAGCGGTGAATTTTTCGAGAAGCTGTTGATCATGTAATTACCATTGAGTTTTTCATCTTTTTTTAAGTGTTATTGAAGCGTTTGGCCTAATAGACTGTATATCAGTATGCACTTCCATGCTCTGAAGAAGGCGATACTGCCGAAACGTCAGCTAGCGTTGTATCGTATTGTGTTTTTACGGAAGTAAATGTATGCTGTGTCGTTTTCTTGTTCAGCAATCGCGAGGTTTTTAAACAGCATACATTTACTTCCATAAAAACAATACAATACAACGCTAGCTGACGTTTCGGCAGTATCGCCTTCTTCAGAGCCTGGAAGGGTATACTGATATACAGTCTATTAGGCCAAACGCTTCAGTAACACTTACAAAAAGACGAAAGACTCTCTGGTAACTACACGATCAACAACTTCTCGAAAAACCCACCGCTTTTTCGTGACTTCCAATGAGGAAGTTTAGAACAGCTGATTATAGTCGCATGTGGTTGACGACTGCACCATCCCACATCAAAAATCGATGCGAACGTACGGGATCAGGTCGCGTATGACCTCCGGGCATTCGTCCCTGCTATTCATTGTAGGGTTTTTGGCATTGATCCAAAAAGCCTCTAGGAGTTTTCGCGCTGGTGTTTTCGACTCCTGTGCAAGGATATTGACTTTTACTTCAAAATCGTCTCCGCTATGCTTTTGTATCCTATGCGTGCCTAGTGGGGTGCTTCGTCTTAGTTTTCGTTTGCCATCTAGGTGTTCTTTTATACGGATACACAAAGGTCTGCCCGTTTCGCCAATATATTCATCTCCGCAATTGTTACACGAGATCAGGTATATCGTACCTGAACTCATGCAATCACCATCCCTGCCGTAAGGGCAAATTACGCAATTTGTTGTTTCACACAGACGGTCATACAGGCGGTTGCGAACTAATTGGCGACGTAGAGTAGTCGGTGGTATTTCAACTATTGCTACCGATTCCTCTAGACCTGCCCTTCTTAAGCATCGTTTTATAGCTGCGCTTACTTCGTCGCTTATAAAAGGCAACATAAACGGGATTTTGTTTTGGCCAAGCGTTTCGCGTGGGCGCGTCGTTCTCCTTGTAAACCTATCTCGTGGGGTTACTATTTCGTAGCCATTGGAGTTGGCTATTTGCCGGGCCAAGTCGCGCGATTCTTCCTTTAGTTCCCTGGTAGTGCGCACAGAGTTGGCTGTTCGAAACATGTTTCTCACAATCGCCCTCTTTGTGTGTGAAGGGTGGGAACAAAGGAAATGGACAAGGATGTTCTTGTTACTTGGCTTTCGATACCACTTTGTCAGGTAAGGTAACCGCTACTTGAATGGTTTATTTGGACGTCCAAAAACGGAAGCCAGTTTTTTCTCGGTTTCTCCCGGGTGAACTTTATGTACTCAGATTGCTCATTCAATAACTCAAAGCATTTGTCCATCTCCTCTTGAGTAGAGAAAATGATAAAACAGTCATCTATGTATCTGCCGTAGAATAGTGGCCGGAGATCGAGAACAGGGGCTTCTATCTTAGACATAAACACAATGGCCAGGCTTGGTGCCAATCGCTGTCCCATTGCCAATCCCCTTATTTGCGCGAAATATTTCCCAGACCATCTGAAGATCGAGCAGTTTAGGCACTCCTTTAAGAGAGCCATTAGCTGCTGGATGGACAAGCAATGCATATTTATTCGTCCTTCATGTTCAACAAGAAGTTCGAAGATGGCTTGCATTGCGGAGTCATTCGACACGTTGGTGTGCAGTGCGGTAACGTCGAAAGACTCCATCACGTACGCGTTATTAGGAGACGCGTTACGTGCACGTTCTAGGAACATTTGGGGTTTGTGAGGTGAGCTGAAATGTGGTTAAGCAACTGGGTGAGTATCAGGCTTAAAAACCAGGTTATTCTATCCGTTGGCCCGTCTACACAGCTGATGATTGGTCTAACCTTAAATGATGACGGATTGGTTGACGCATGATCATCAGGTGATACCAACTTATGTGTTTTAATAAGTAGGTATAGGACGGGACATGTTGGTCTATCGATTTTAAAGTGCGAAATAACCGATGATTTTAAACCCGCAGCCTTTGCCACGCTGACCCATTGATTGTTTAGCTTTCGGTATTGACTTTTATATTCCTTTTCAGAGGATGGGCGATAGAGAGTAGCATCACTAAGATGTTCCTCTGTTATCTCAACATCCAGCTGGCGAGGGATAACTACGAACTCTCCCCCCTTATCACTAACTGACAATCTTATTGTTTTCGAGTTTATTAATTCTCTAATTTCCCGCTTGCCACATTTTTGTCCGGCTGTAAGGTTAGAGATAAACTTTCTATCGCGGTAGTGATCAAGGGTCTTGAGAACGCCGTCCGAAAACGCGCGGAATTTTATGTCAACTCCATCGCTAGGGTCCTGCTGTCTAAAGAACGTTTTTGGGAAAGGAGATGGTGGTAGTGTCGCCGCTTCTTGAACCACATGCGACTATAATCAGCTGTTCTAAACTTCCTCATTGGAAGTCACGAAAAACGGTGGGTTTTTCGAGAAGTTGTTGATCGTGTAGTTACCAGAGAGTCTTTCGTCTTTTTGTAAGTGTTATTGAAGCGTTTGGCCTAGTAGATTGTATATCAGTATACCCTTCCAGGTTCTGAAGAAGGCGATACTGCCGAAACGTCAGCTAGCGTTGTATTGTATTGTGTTTTTATGGAAGTAAATGTATGCTGTTTAAAAACCTCGCGATTGCTGAACAAGAAAACGACACATTCATATTCCAATGCCGAGGTTAAGAGAAAGTCGATCCTGTGAACTCAAGAACAGTGTAATAATTACCGTCTGAAGAAACTGTACTGACGTTATCGGTGCGCAACAAGAATCAGTCTCCATGACGTGTAGTGGGCGTGCTCCTTTTGTGCGTTTTCGGTGACGTCTGTGCAACCGGAGAATTAGTTGTCTTTCACCAGTTGTTTCACCACACTTCGTAGACTCGTAGACGAGAGCACGCAGCGTGCGTGGTAGTGTGGTCGAAGGTATCTTGTTTAACCATTGTGGTTCACCGGAGTCCCGACGTCAGCCTAGTTGTAGTGTTCCTCGGGTCGTCGCAACCGCAGGCAGTTGTCGACCTTGCGGATCAGATTTGCCACTATGCGACTAGCTGGATACCAGGACGGCAGTGATTCTTGGTATTGGTTTTCTTACAGCTGGACTTTCTGGAACACCTAGCAACGTCTCCTAATCACGATGAGGTGGCAAAGCTTTAGGAAGTTTAACAAATTTGAGGTTTAATACTTTGTAAAAATTGCATACACTCGCTAGATGATACAGCATTGTCTTTCTATAGATTTTTGAATCGTGGGCGTGTACTCTGACAGTACACTATTGTTGGAGAAGTTTTCATCTGATGTAGAAAAACCAGTTTCATCACAAATGCTTTAATTTTGACACTTTTTCAATTGTTGGAATAATATGTCAAATACTTTGGCTGATTATTCAGCAATAATTGATGTTTTTCACATAGGAAGGACATGATCCTGAGATACCAGTGAATCACTTCGAGGACTCTGTCATGCGTTCGGAAGCTGGATTGGGCGAATTCCAGCTGCCGTCGCATACTTCTAGCATTGGAGATGTGCAAATGGGAAATAGTGAAGCGAAAGGAAAGGATCTTGAGGATTTTCAGTAAGTCTAGAATACAGTTACTACAACATATCTGTGATGCTCAGATGCAATTAGCACAAAAGTTGCTGTATAATCTCACAGACTATAAAGCAGACTTTCTAAAACCATATTTGAAGTAGCAGTTTAGAAGCAAGCCCATATGAAACTACATTTTAACTCATTTCGGTTAAGCATGGGGAACTTTTTTTTTTCAACTTTTGACGATTGCAACGATATCGACGAGAAGATTAATTCATGTTTGAATCTATTTAGAGTGACAGGTTTTGAGTCAGAGGGTGTGGAACTGGCACGTCGGGACCATTTCATCTATTATCCACGTGGACTTCGGTTACGATCATATCCACGTGGAGTTCTGTCTTCCTTTCCGCCACCTGTTAAGGATCAAAATGGCATACCAAGTAGGTGACTTCTGTTAGATGAGTTTCGAGTAACTACAGCTTATGTCCATTGACAAGGTTCTGCTTGGTTAATGAGTGTTTTGTTATTAAAGTAGATTTCTTAAAATGAATTATATGAATTCAATCGAATTTTAAGGTATATGTTTAGTCAAAGCGACCTATTGTTAATATTTACAATTTAGTGTTTTTTTAATCACTTTGGGTGATAGTTAATTTTGTCCTACTTTCTAGGTCTACTATTCAAAGGTACTTAGGTTGGTGGCTGTTAGATGGTGGCTCTGTTGTACCTGTGTTAGCACTCGGATTAGAGAAAGGTGATTCGCTTTTGGACATTTGTGCTGCACCTGGAGGAAAAAGCCTGCTATCGTTGCTTACCATGTTGCCAAGTAATTATTTGACGCTTTAGAAAAAAGTACTAGATCAGTATAGTTTTTGCAGTAATCGCAATTCCAGGCAAAGTCGTTTGCAATGATTTCAAATTGACAAGATTAGGTATGCTAAAACGTGCTCTTTCCACATACATTCCAATGGATGCTGCAGTCTCTGACATGGTAATACTGAAACGAAATGATGCCAGTAGTCTATCTACATGGAATGAATTTAATCTTTATGATAAGGTCAGTTTTGCACTGGTGAATTTTGTATTTGGAAGAAGTGAGCTCTCCGAGTTCAACATGTCCAAGTAAGGTATTACGCATTTCATTGTTTAGTGACAGGAAATGTGAACCATTTTTTTTTTGGGTCACACGTGTTCAAAATAATTTAGGCTATGAGATTTTATAAGCATAAAACTATTTAAGTCTGCACATCTCTGTTGACCAGATACAAACTTACGCATTATCTTACTGGACTGCTGAAGTCCACGAGTCGTTTTTCTTTTTCTCGTTTCATCTACGGGGGTTATGCCTGGAGTAGTGAAGCGATTAAGTGAGAGGATTTACATTCAACGCAAGAGGATAGTGTTGATGTTCTCGAAAGCAGAGCGCATACTTGCGGCTGCTGTTCTTTTTTTTTAGCATAAAATATTGCTTACAGCTTGTTTCATCAAAATATAAAGTACTTGTAGAAATAACTGTTGAAATTATACTATATTATATTATATGTATATATATATATATATATATATATATATATATATATATATAATATAATATAGTATAATTTCAACAGTTATTTCTACAAGTACTTTATATTTTGATGAAACANATATATATATATATATATATATATATATATATATATATATATATATAATCAGCTTAACGGGGTTCAGTGCCGATGTAGGCTGCCCGGATCAATCCCGTTGGTTGGCAGCTGATTGCTGATGGCACTGGTAGATAGAAAATTAACTGAGAGAAACGCAGAGCAAGGACCTCCGTGGTGCAGTGTGTAATGCGCGAGCTCCGGAAGGGGAAACCGTGGGTCGATCTGGCCCATGGTCCAATTTTTACGAAAATCTCAGCATCGTTGATGTTGATTTCGCATAATATCCTACCGTGAAAACTGTAGTAGGCAGTAACTAAAAAATAAGTAAATTGTGTGAATATATATGTTGCTAATCAAGTGACTAGTTCTCACGCGTTGTGAAGATCCTGGCACTTTTCCATTCGTTTTGTTATCGCGAATCCACAAAGATGGTCGAGCTTGGGTATGGTTTTGGTTGGAACTTGGAGATCTTGGACTTTTCTTTTCGTTGACATTATAACAGTAAAACGAACGTGGTTTTCTCTCGAATTCCGAAATTTGCTATAGCTTTCTCAGGTCTTCGTCATAGGTAGGAATAGGCTGTTCCAAGAATGCAGCGCTACATGTTGTTATCAACCGGCCGCACGGGGCGCTGTAAAAAGACAATTGATTAGTTTTTAATGCTTTTATTACTTTTTTATTGGCTATTTTTTATAGTTTTTTATTAGTACGTTTTAAAAAGACAATTCGTCTGTTTTTGATGTTCTCATTAATTTTCGTTGCACTTTTGAATAATTTTTTCTTAACATTTCTTTGAAAGTATACGTATGGTCATATGTATATATATATATGTATGTATATATAATGTTGGTTAGAACGACATGGTGTTTATAAGTGTGTGAAGTTATAAGGTCGTTAGGTATTTTAGTTATCAAAACCTGTTTGAGTTTGCAGTATGTGAGAAATCAGAAGTTTCTGGTGAAAGAAAACAGTTTTGAAATGTCCCTTCACGAAATTTTTCATTGTTTAGTAAAAATCATGCTGTCTTCTGTAGCCATTTCAGGCTTAAATAAATACTTATGATGATATTCTGGGGCAGACTTTGGCCATGCTGACCTCGAAACTCCAGAGAAACACAATTGCTAAGCCTCTAAAACTCCGAAAAGTGAAGAATATGCTTGAGCCCGCACAACCAGTGAGGACGAGCCGTCCAAGTATCTAAGTAAGTAATGATATCCAATGTTCAGGTCCTGGCTGACGTTCCATGCTCGACAGATCGTCTGGCAGTAACTCAAGACGATGGGAACATGTTCTGTTCACAAATGACGAATGAACGTCTGAATTTACCTCAGTTGCAGACTAAAATTTTGGTGTTAGTCTTGTCTGATAGTTTTGTTCTTGGATTTGTGTTCTTACGAAGGAGTACCACTCTTTCGACTTCTCAAGGTTATCATCAGAAAACCGAGATTACATTGCGGGAAGAATTCATATGCTCAAATATCGCTGCGAATAAAACGGCATTCCTTGGTCTAAAGAATTCAAATGCCTCTAATGAGCACTCGTGCAAGAATGTAACTGTAACCAGACTTTCTTCATGTAATGCGGTATTGTTTACGTTTTTTTCTTTAGGATTGGATCACAGTGGTAGTGGGGTTCCAAAAAGTAGTGATTTCTGTTTTTACTGTTGTGGTGCCGCTAAAGTGCTTCTCCTATCTTATGCCTCGAGAGGTCGTTACCATTTTCTGAACCTGTATGAGTAGTGTGAAGCAACGCTAAATCATCTAATTATGAACGAAAGAAATGATCTTAAACTTGCACTGTATTAGCGTGATTTTTTGAAGTGAATAACGACACTGCTTTCATCGCTAGTTCACCGTCGACGCACATAAACGCGTTCGACTTATAGGGAACCGCTACTGAAGAAAAGTTGTATTCCCTTCTCAGTTAATATTTAGGGTAAACAATCTTGTGTGAAAGAAAAGATATGGAAAATTAGGTCAACATTAGTTCATATGATCTGCGCACACTTAAACAGAAAGCGTTTTGGAATTCAGCGTAGATCCACCTTCCCAGTTCTGTGTGTTTTATTTAGAAATTCCCTACGATCTGTGAAAGTAGGAGGATCAGTTGTGTATTCGACTTGTACGCTATCGTCCATTCAAAATGAAGCTGTAGTTGAGAATGCCGCTGCCATAGCTGATCAGAAGTTTGGAATTCGGGTATTCTAACCTTTTTGACTGTAAGCAACAGTTCGAAAAATATTGAGCAGATGTTTTCCTTACAATAATTAATCACAGGTTATCGAGGAATCGCTATCTCAACTCGTTAATCATCTCTCATCGACTGGGCTCTATCGGTTTTCGGATCAGTGCCGAACGGGTGCTTTAGTACTACCGTATTTGCCATCAAACTTTGGTCCAATGTATGTATGTAAGTTGACGAGACTAAAATAGAATGCCTTCAGACCTCTATATCATCACACGCTATGTTTGGTTATATTGTTGCTGTTTGGTAAGGAGCATTTCTCCAGTTGTTGCTTGCGTCTTTATGCTTCAAATATCTTTCAGAAACTGTATAAAACATCAAAACATTATAATGAGTTGATTGTTCTGATGCGAAAGTAGAATGTCTCCGACTGCTCTCCGTAGTCCTTCCGCAATAAATTTTTGTAAAACTTGCCCTTCAGTTGAACAAAGATCATTGAAATGGGTAGATATCTTATCTAACTTATATGCTTTCATATTCTTCCTTGAAATGGGTCAGTTCTACAGTTCCTCAAATTTGCACAAGTTCTGTTGAATCTTCTAGGTTGAGAGTCATTGATTTGCTGTCCTTTCCAGTCATCGGGCTAATATCAAGTTTCTGTAGGAAGAATTCTTGCTTGCTACATATAGGGATGGCTTTAATTTTTGCTCATATATGTCTTATTTTTAGAGTTTCATCTATCCGTTCTAATGTTCGCAATGTCATTGTGGCAATTTTCTTAGTTACATTGTTATCGTATTCAAAAAGTTGTTGAATTCAGAGCGCGAGTTATTTCAATAGAGAGTGCTGGTCTTTTTATAACTTGCCAAATCGAACATTTTTGGTTGACCCAATGTGAACCTCAAAGGTGGATGACTAGACTTACATAAACAATACAACATTAAGCGATGGTTCATCAATAATATTGTAACGACATTAATAAGTAAGTGTACATAAGAAAAAGGATAAGTTTAATGCATCAGTAACTAGAATGGTATGTGCGTAACATGCGGGGGTGGGTGGTTAATATCGCTCGTGAAAAAGAACTCATGTTGAATTTTACCATATGAAGAAAGTAAGCAATGAGTTGGAAGTCGTAAGAGCAATATTTAAAGAAATGAAAAAATGGCTACTGCTCACAGTCGCTCTAAAGGAAGTTACTACTATGAAACATCAGAGTTTCTCAAGAGTCTTTCATCAAAACTTAGACACTTCAGGATTTCTAGAGAATCTATAGTCACTCTTTCTCAGAGCTTCAGTGTAATAGCTGACAATTCGGTGGTTTCGTCTTCTTCAGAACCATTTTATTCTTTGCCAATATTCCAATTGGTGGTTTTGCAAATATCTCAGCATCACTGAAGTGATATTTCGCAGTACACACTGCCGTTAAAAAGAGTAGGCAGCAAATAATAAGTTAAAATTGTGATTAGTTAGTAATGCAGTTAGCAGCCTCAGCTTAAATAGGTTCGTTGCCGACTTGGGCTCCCCAGATCAATCCCGCTGATGGGTGATTGCTGATGGCAAAAGATAGATAGAACTAGCTGAGAGACAGGCGAAAGGAAGGACTCGCATGATGTGGTGGTGAACGCGTTCCCGGATAGGACAGTAGCGCGTTCGTTCCCCACCGGAGACGCATGTGGTCCAGAGTTTTGCAAATATCTCAGCATCATTGTAAAGCATTTAGTTTTCAGATTTTGTTTGGAATCAGGACTTCATTCGCTCTTCATGTTGTCTCGCATTCGTTATCCACGAAGGTTTTCGGATTTCTGTGTAGGTTCACCTGTAACTTGAGGATTTTGTCTTCTTCGTGACTGTCGGTGAGTGGTGATTGCGACTCTGCTTATGCTCCTCGTATATCTCCGTCGGAACGTTGCCAAATGTTACTTAAACGCAGCTGCTAGTTTTTCCAATAGAAATAAAGGACAGAGCTTTTGGCATTGATTAGTCCCTGAGGGATGCGCCATGCATTTGACTTCATTAAACATTGTTAGAGGTGATTGAATAAATATTTGGCTTTTACAATGACTCGAAGTGACCTAGCGATATGTCGAAGCAGTGTTGCTATCTTGCCAGACAAGTCTGATACTAGTTTGCGGACGACAGATGGATGGAAGTCTGCGTGAGTCTGGGACTGCCGGGATCGATCCATTTTGTATTGCCGGACGCTTTTAACCTATATGCTTTCCATTCGTTCCACATGTTCTGATATATTGGAGCTTTTACCAAACAATTCTGGAGTCAATTTTCGGTCTCGGAGAGATGGGAGGCCTAGTTAGCAAGATGTGGAGTTGAACCATTTGGTAATATCTAATCATTTCGATGCCTGCCCTCAAAGACTCCTTGTGGAGCAAAGAAAAATCGAACAAAAAAGTAGAGGAGTATGACTACGACACTTTGATTTCAATGCGCGTCGCTTGCAGAGAATATTGGGTGCGGCCGTTAGTACAAATTCTTGACGAGGTGCCTTCTGCAGGAGTCATACGATGTGAAAACTATGTACTCTATCAAATTAGATCAACACTTTTCAATTAATAGTTCATTTTATCTGTAGCAATAAGAACTTTTCCCTCTTTTTTAAATTTCTATACAACTTGTCTTCACGTCTGCTGTGCGAATCCCAGCACTCCCACATTTCATTTGTTTCCTCCCATCCATTGTCCACGAAGATCTTCAACTTTGACATGTGGCTTCGACTCTGCTTGAGGATTTTCATTATGTCTTCATTGTCGTAGAACGCTCGTCAAGACGATTCTCCATAGAGTCCTGAGATGGCCGGGATAGAGCGTTCCCAATTGAATTGTAGAGAGATCTGTTAGAGTCCATGACATATATTTCTTTTATTTTGTTGTTTCAACACTCACATTTCGGCCACCAACGCAAATGAATATGCGAAATTCGTCCATCATAACACGATAGTGTTCACCAGTGTGCGATGCATCCTTTCAGCTGCCGCTCCTTCCGTTGAAAATTTCAAAAATTTAAATTTCTCTGTTGATTTTTTGAAGGTTTTGGTTTTTGACGTATTCAAACCCAAAAAAAATTATACGTGGGATTGAAACGATCGTGGAAGGTCTTTTCCATAAATCCATAAATCTCTGAACTCCTGACATACTCATGCTAACGAGTTGTCGCTTGTTGTCGAAAAATCAGCTTTGTCGTGAGAAACACACCCTTCGGCTTTACTATTTTTATTCATTGACCAACCAACGGTGTAGAAAAAGGGCTTCTCACGATATTTTGATGATGTACGATTTGCCTTTTTTCTTCGTAAACAGTGACAGTAATTACTAGGTTGTTCGAAAATTAACGAAGAATTTCAACTTGTATCCTCAAATTTGTTGAGAATATTCTTTAATAGCGGAAATAAAAACCATAATAATATTCACATTTCAGCAGAGCGAATTTATTTCTGCCAATTATACTTTTGGAGACGACTAAGTCGTTGAAAGTAGTCCCGGCCTCTGGTTTCTGAAGCATTTCTCGCACAGAATGTGTTTGTTCACTCCAAAGCTCTGAGCCTTGGCAAATGAAACACGACTTGAATGCACCAAAAAAGCTTACATTTTCATCGCAATAGAAGAAGAGTTTTTTTATGCGGTTGATCAAGTTCTGTCAATTCCAGTACCCCACCCCCATTTCATTTCTTATAATGTATTATGAGTGTATTATGAGCTGAAATGCAAAGTCGGTGGGTGAAATGTATAGCGTCCATTTCACCGGTGAATGGTGCTTCTAAGCCCCTTATACCACCTTTGTTTCGCAATAAACTCGAAACTAATCAACCACAGCTTCGAGCTATGACAGAGCTATTTAATGGTTCATAGAGAGAAAGCGGTATTTGCTAATTTTCCTATTGTTTTATTGTGCTGCTTTCGATAAGGTTCTGTTTCCCGTCCTTTTTTGTCTGATGTTTTGATTTATTACCATGCTATAAATCTAAAATGAAAGTGGGTGGTGTTTTCATAGTTTTCCGTATTAAGTACGTATTAAAGGGAGTTTTGGAGTGAGAAAAAAAAGTCTGGTGTAGAATATCGAAAAGCATGTAGTTTAAAAAAAAAATGAAATAGAACGTAGAATGTAAGTAGTGTAATGTAGTACTTAGAATGACACGCTATATTTGGTTGAAGCAAAATAGAACATCAATCCTAAGATTATCAGTTCTTTTTCAATAACTCTACACCAGGAGAAACCGCTGTCTCAAAGTTATTAAGCCTATAGTTGTCGCATTGTTACTACATTGAATAAACGGCATAACTTGAGTCATACGAAATTTCCACGTCGGCGGTTGGATAGTTCACTAGCATTAGAAATCACTGATTTCCGGTCAGGTGAAATTCTCTAGAGGTTTTGAATACGAACCTAATTTCTCATTCTGTTCCTTTGTCCACTCAGTATGGGTAGTAATTAGAATAACACGCCACATTTCACTAGGTATGTAAACATGCTTTTACTTAAGTAAAACACGTCATAACGCAGTAATTAATTCCAACCGCGACCACAAAAACTATAATTTCAAAGGTGTATATCCACAATAGCTTATCTTAAGATATATATATATATATATATATAATTCTTTCTAATTCTGTTCAGCAAACACGAGGTGCTATTTTATTTCTTTATTTACGTACATGCTGACGTTTCAGCGGATTTCGCCTTCCTCAGAGCCTGGAAGGGTCAACTTGACAGCAATCCATTCAGCCAAACACCTCCATAACCAAACAGAGAAAATGCTGAACCAAGATTTCAATCACATTTAACACAGCTCTGCACACTCACCGCTTTCTATGACTCTTCCACTGAGTATGTCGTGTGAAGACCGACCTCACAGAATTCACATGGAGGTGTAATGTGCCCCTCCCATCAGAATAACAGGTTTATATACTGCCCCATATCACGCGTGGTAATGAGGCACTCTTCTCTGCGGTTGATTTTCGGATTTCTGCAATTAATCCAGAACGCCTGGAGAGTTTTGCGTGCTTGTGTTCTCGATTCTTGCGCGAGGATCGCAACCCCTACTTCAAAATCTTCTCCATTATTTCTCTGCGTCCTACGCGTGCCTAGTGGAGTATTTGGCTTACGTTTGCCGACTAGGTGTTCTTTTATAGGCACGCAGAGTGGTCTACCATTTTCGCCAACGTATTCGTTCCCGCACGCTTTACAAGAGATCAGATAGACTGTACCCGAACTCATGCAGCTTATATTGATGAGA